ATCAAAATGGTTTACAAATTATGCAAGTACACCTAGTAGGCTATACTTCATTAGTTACAGGTTTACAGTTGTGATATTGTGAGATGTTATATTGTGACTTTATTTTAGGCCTGTGTAAGGCAGTATTTAATTCTTTATCTTATTGTCATTAAGTGGGTAATGAGTCACAAAACAAATAATCAAAACATTTCAGAGGTGGAGGCACCAAAAGTATCTTTGCCCCCAGGTGCTGAGAACCCTTGCTTACGCCACTGAAGTGAATGATACTTTTCATAGAAGCACACTTAGAAATAAATGGCAAAGTTGTATGTATGTTAGTTTGATCTAATCTCATCATGTTTATTCAAAAGTTGACTTGTAAAAACAGCCTATAATTAGGGCTGGGTGATTATGGAATTTAATAACCGATTAACCCTCAGGCTTGTTAAGTGATATAATCAAGTATTCTTACATGATATTTGGGTAATTAGAATAATCAGAATTTTGATTAGTTAGTTATGTTCATGGCACTAATCAATTATTTCATGCGATACTATTAGATGTAGATTGCCTGCTGTAATTTAACTTACAATTTACTTAAAGAAACAAATACTGTGCAAAAACAGTATTTGTTCAATGTAATGAGTTTCCCAAAACCAAGATAAATATTTCCAGTAGAGAACTTTACAATATTAAAGCTGTTTGCTAAGCTATTTCTGGATTGATTAAAGCTAATTAGGAGCAAAGCAAGTGAGAATTTAAATGATTATATAAACAGCCTTTTAAAAAGTCTTTCTGATCAAGTTATTGATCTAAAGTATTACACAAGAAGATATCTAAATCAATGACTTAAATAATAATTTTAAAAAAAGGTCCCAAAACAGGAAAATGAGGGACTCCACAAATGCATTCTTCTATTTTGAAAAATATTAGCTTAAATTTGCTTTCTGCCACTGAGTTGATATTATACTTTTGCACCAGTTCTTAATATTGTGTGCAGCAACTGATCATGAAAACTCAAGGTACACAGCATGAACTAGAATAACTTATCAAGAGCAGGAAACCTACCAAAAAAGAAAATCAAACGTTTATGCTAGGAATAATTAATTAAATTACAACAACTTTCCCAATTGTTTTTTAAATCACCCATTTGAACGTATTTCAATATTTGACTCACAACAGAAGTCAAATTAACAAGTCTATAAAATATTAGTTTCTTCGTTAACCAATTTATTTAAATAATAAGGATTAAATAGAGACATTTATTCAGATGTAATACACTTTCAAGGATTTGTTTATTACAATATGCCACCTTTACGCTTTATTAAGAGCTGAGCAAAGAGAGATGGTTGCTAATCAATTAACCCTCTCACTACAGCTAGGTCATAGTGAGCATGTCACGACCTTTACCAGTTACATTCAAACTTTAATTAAATTACTTTATTAACACTGAATACAAATAAACTTGGCGTCAAAACAGAGTTAATAAATCAAATTGTAATATTAAGTTTTTATAAGGAAATATTTTTAAAAATCCTCAATCTCCAATAATGTGAGAATTATGACATTTGTTCTCTAGGTCTTCTCTAATGTATTTATCACTCTTCTCTGAAGTATGGAATTCAACATAAATTATTCATTATAATGTAGATTTTACTAAGGCAAAGTTTAATATTTATGACCTTCAGTCAATTTTTTTACAAATTCATAAACTAGAAAATAAGACCCACTTGCCACACCCACCTGTCACATTCTCTCTTTCACAAATTGGGAATAATTCTTTCTGACATCTTAAATACATCATTTACAATCAATAGAAAGGCAAAGTTTCAATTTATCGAATGATGTATAATGCTACATTGTTTTCAGTACAATTTCATCTTCAGATTGAAAATTTATCTTGTGGTGTTCAGGTCGAGCAGAAAACAGAATTATTTTAAGCCCCTCTTGCATTAGTTAGAAAGCCAGTTAAATTAAAATAGCTATAAGACATTTTTGGCTTTGTGCATGTTATTATTCTCTGTTCTTAGATGCATTACTTAAATAAACAAAAGTTATTTAATGTTTATAAAAAAAAAGTATGCTTAAGTTCCATCAACAAAAATAGAAGAGATCAAACAAAAAGTACTATATTTGTTTTTTATAAATATATTATTTATTGTTATAAAAGTAACTAAAACATAAAAATTAGGAACTTATTAGGTTAGATTAGATAAGGTAATGAAAATGCTCAAAAACAGCTCGTGCATTACATCCTTCAATACGGTAATGTGCACTGCACATGGTTCAAAGGACAATAAAACAATAAACTATGTATAAACAGAGGTAGATGGTTTACAAGCCTTAAGCTTTAATGATAAACAATTGTGGTTTTCTGTTATAATCTGCAGTCATTTTAAAAAGAAAAAAGGATAATACAGTATTTTTTTTTTTTTTTATGGTGAGTACAAGGTTGGTCAAATTGACCAAGTCCATATAGAGTTACAGTAGAGAAAATAACAGATAAATTATAGATTTACTAGAAAAAAAGTTTGATATTTATTTAGGAGGTTTCATAGGTTACACGTATGAAATTCAAAAATTTTCAGATAGAGAAAAATCTTTTAATTTTAACATGAAAATCACTTTGCACTTGGAGTAGTCAACACTCTGATTCTATATACTCATGGACAAATCTTTAGTAAAAATACTTAATTAAAAAAACCTGATTTTTTTTGTATAAAAGCCTTCTAATGTTTACTGAAGACTTGCCAAATTTTGAGTAGGTACACAAAAATATTAAAAGTTATAATGTGGATACTCCATTACTTTGTGGTTACAAGGTTTGTCACATCACCTGACCACAGAAGGAAAGAGTTAACTGATGGCCTCATTAATCAATTACATTTCTTCCTCAAACCATGATACCAGAGAAGTTTGACAATATCAAAAAACGTTGGCAGTGGGTGCTGCCATCACCTTCAAAATTAGTGACAGTAGCAAACAGCCTTTGCCATAACAAAGATAGTGAGCAAGTTTGGTGGCAATATTTCAATTACTTGGATAGTTGGAATCATCGATTTAACTGTAATTTTGATGTATTAACATTATACTAATCGATGTAACTGCTGCTTATAGGTAATCAATTACATTGATTAAATCATTCCTCTCTAATCATGACACTCCATGAAAGTGATATTAAATATTTTTGAAGACGGGTTTAAAAACTAAAGGCAAACTCTTTGAAACTTTTAAAGAAGCACACATGTACAAGTATCATAGTTGATAAACTAAACTCTTAAAAACCTACTTCTGTGACTGTGGTTTCCTCTTTTGGAAACCCTTGATAATTCCTTCTCCTCCCCAGATTCCTGCATCAGCTTCCTTTGGAAAAATAAGAGGAATTGGAACATTTTCTACTCTCTTCCTGAAAATATAAATCAAAACTTTCCCCATGTCATTTCAAGTATACCATATGTAAGATTCAAGTATGTAATAAATCAATATCTTTTAAAAATCTAGTCCTAACAGCAGTATGTTATGTATCTAAAACAAACAGTAATCTTAAACTGTAGCAAAATAAATTATACAGTATTGGAATCACTAATCACACAACCATGAAATCAAAACAAAATACAGCATAAGTTCGAACACCACATTAAGAACCAAGTCAGGAACTTGATACTGAAAGTCTTAATTTTCCTTTCAAAATTCTCCATATTTTTCTTAGCCCTATTGCCTTCCCTTGCTAGCTTGCACCAATTTCCTCACCCTCTATCATAAAAATTTTGTATTTTCCCACTATCTTGACTAACTCTTTCTGTTATAAAGAACAAACAAAAAATTTTAACTCCCCCATAAACTGTCTTAAACTCTTTGCTTGTGGTGAAGAAAAAGGCCACATTCCTGCTGTGCTCAGTCTCTTGGGTAATATCTTACTCCAAAATGTTTATCTACAATGAAGTGGGTTAACTATCCATAGTTTGTACACTCAAGAAAATTAAAAAAAAAGTCCTGTTAATGCTGAGACTCTATTAGACAGAGCTATTACCATACAATCACAGTAAGTTACATCTAACATAGAGCTATTACCTTACAATTACAGTAAGATACATCTTACATAGAGCTATTACCATACAATTACAGTAAGTTACATCTAACATAGAGCTATTACTATACAATCACAGTAAGTTACATCTTACATAGAGCTATTACCATACAATTACAGTAAGGTACATCTAACATAGAGCTATTACTATACAATCACAGTAAGTTACATCTTACATAGAGCTATTACCATACAATTACAGTAAGTTACGTCTTACATAGAGCTATTACCATACAATTACAGTAAGTTACGTCTTACATAGAGCTAATGCTTGGTAGACTGTAATGAGAGGTGTGAAACTTCTGTCATGTGTGAACTCTCCATCAAATTAAAGAACTCATTCAAAACCTAATTTCCATTTTGAAATTACTGGTACCAGAATATTGCTCCATAGATGTCCTGCAGCTCTAAATTCCTTATTGTAATGAATTCTTCCTTATAAAAATAAGCACATCATGGAGTCCACATTATCTTTTCATGTATGCTTTATTCGTGTGATCCACAATTCTTAGATAGACATATCAGATGCTTAGAGCATTGTGTAAGATGTGGCACACTGTAATTATATGGTAACAGATATGTAAGACGTAACTTACTGTAATTATATGGTAACAGATATATGTAAGATGTAACTTACTGTAATTGTATGGTAATAGCTCTATGTAAGATGCAACTTACTGTAATTGTAAGGTAATAACTCTATGTAAGACGTAACTTACTGTGATTGTATAGTAATAGCTCTATGTAAGACGTAACTTACTGTAATTATATGGTAATAGCTCTATGTAAGACGTAACTTACTGTAATTGTATGGCAATAGCTCTATGTAAGATGTAACTTACTGTGATTGTATGGTACTAGCTATATGTAAGACGTAACTTACTGTAATTATATGGTAATAGCTCTATGTAAGATGTAACTTACTGTAATTGTATGGTAATAGCTCTATGTTAGATGTACCTTACTGTAATTGTATGGTAATAGCTCTATGTAAGATGTAACTTACTGTAATTATATGGTAATAGCTCCATGTAAGATGCAACTTACTGTAACTGTATGGTAATAGCTCTATGTAAGACGTAACTTACTGTGATTGTATAGTAATAGCTCTATGTTAGATGTAACTTACTGTAATTGTATGGTAATAGCTCTATGTGAGATGCAACTTACTGTGATTGTATGGTAATAGCTCTATGTTAGATGTAACTTACTGTAATTGTACGGCAATAGCGCTATGTAAGATGTAACTTACTGTGATTGTATGGTAATAGCTATATGTAAGACGTAACTTACTGTAATTATATGGTAATAGCTCTATGTAAGATGCAACTTACTTTTAAGTTACGTCTTACATAGAGCTATTACCATACAATTACAGTAAGTTACGTCTTACATAGAGCTATTACCATACAATTACAGTAAGTTACATCTTACATAGAGCTATTACCATACAATTACAGTAAGTTACATCTTACATAGAGCTATTACCTTACAATTACAGTAAGTTGCATCTTACATAGAGCTATTACCATACAATTACAGTAAGTTACATCTTACATAAAGCTATTACCATACAATCACAGTAAGTTACATCTTACATAGAGCTATTACCTTACAATTTTTGTAATTATATGGTAACAGCTCTATGTAAGACGTAACTTACTGTAATTGTAAGGTAATAGCTCTATGTAAGATGTAACTTACTGTGATTGTATAGTAATAGCTCTATGTAAGACGTAACTTACTGTAATTATATGGTAATAGCTCTATGTAAGATGCAACTTACTGTAATTGTATGGTAATAGCTCTATGTAAGACGTAACTTACTGTAATTGTATGGCAATAGCTCTATGTAAGACGTAACTTACTGTAATTGTATGGCAATAGCTCTATGTAAAATGTAACTTACTGAATTGTATGGTAATAGCTCTATGTTAGATGTAACTTACTGTAATTGTATGGTAATAGCTCTA